GAAGCGGGGACTCCCTGCCTCCCATATCACGCTGGTCCCCCCTGCCCCAGCTCCCCTCCTACCTCCTTGCCCAGGGGCATCCCGCTGCCCAGGGCACAGGTCAGGCCGATGACCTTGGCCACAAAGGTCTTGAGGGTGAGGTACTCCTTCAGCACCACGCCCCGCAGGATGGTCTTCATTTCGGGGATGCCAGAGCCTGCAGGAGGGGGGCAGTGAGTGCCTGGCGGGTGAGCACCTGCCAGCTCTGCCCTCAGCTCCACCCAGAAAGAGGGGTCATGGCCCCCCCAAAAACTCCACCGCCCCTGGGGCCTGGCACTCCCAGGGAGCCCCCACACAGCCACTATGGTCCCCCCAGCCCAGCCGCAGGGCAGGCTCTTACCGACAGCCTGTGGGGCCAGGATCTGGGTGAGGCCGGCGGAGAAGGTGATGAGCACCATCGGGTAGGTCACCCAGGCCATGTACTGCAGGAAGATGTTGGCATCCAGGCCCCCGTACATCCACTTCTGGGCTGCAGGCAGACAGGTGGGGTCAGTGCAGGCACTCGCCTAGCCCATCAGAGCCCGGGGCGAGGGTCATGGGGGGAACACAACCCTTGCCCCCAGCGGAGGGAGAGCAGCCCTGCCCCTGCCAGGAGCTGCTGTGCTATGCAGCTGCAGGCCCCAAAGCTGGGCCCATGGAGAGAGGCAGACTTGGTGCCCTTGGTGGATGCAGTGCCCAGGCCCCCCGCAGATGGCAGGGCCCGTGGCTATGCCTGACCCAGCACCCAGGTACCCCCCACCCCGAGGCCCAGCACCCTCCCTGGGAAGCAGGTGGGCAGGCTGCCTGGCATGGGCTGTGGGCACCCCCAAGCCCCTGGCAGTGCTCCCCCGCCCCGTACCTTGCAGGCAGGTGGCGATGGCAAAGTCCATGGCCCAGCTCACCAGCGCCATGAGTAGCCCCAGCAGGATGAGGAAGATCCAGTCCTCGCCCACCTTGGAGACGAGGAACTTCTGGCACCGCACGGTGCAGACTGGGGGCAGAGGGGGCAGCCTGAGTGCCGGTGCCGGGAGGACAGGGTGGCGCGAGGCGGCGGGGTGTGTCACGGCCTCCCTGCCCATCCCTGGGCTGAGATGCTGCGGTGCCCAGATGCTGCGGTGATGGGCGCAGCTCCAGCAGACCCATGGAGGACGGCCTCAACACAGCCCAGGCTCCCAGCTCCCTGGCTCGGGGAGGGCTCAGGGCTGGGGTGCATAGGGGCTGTGCCAGGCACTGCTGGGGGCTAGCAGGGGCTTGCCTTTACCCATGCGTGCCCTCCCAAATACTGGCGGCTGGACTCTGCCCAGCCCAGCAGGCTCCAGCTATGCGGGTAGGGGCTGGACTCTGCCCTGCAGAGCCAGGGGGCCTGAGCACTGGGGGCAGCAGGGAGGTGAAGGGGCTGTAGGGTAGGGTGAGCACAGGGGCCTGGGCACAGCTTGCTGGTCTCCCCCAGCCAGGGCCTCACCGTGTGCCCCCGCCCCGGGCGCGGGTCTGGCCGGCACTGGCTAAACACGGGGCAGAGACGGCTCCATCACCACTGGGGCGGTGGGCACTACCCTGCTGTCCTGGAGCGCGGGCTCGGGGTGCCCCCTGCCGGGGGAACATGCAACCACGGGCGAGGGACCGGGAGCACGGCTGTGTAGGGCAAGGCTGAGCCAGGCTGAAGTGGGGAGCTCGGCTCCAGCTGGGTCCAGGTGCCCTCAGCTAGGACCAGCCCTGCCAGGGGGCTGCCAGGGGGCACAGACACTGGGCTCCCACAGAGGAAGGTGTCCTGCCTGTACCCACCTCTCAGGGTGTCCCCAGCTCTGCCCACATCCCCCACTGCCAGGTGCCCCCACCATGGCAGGGCTACACCAGGGCCCCCCTCCAGCCCCACATCAGAGCCTGCCTTCTCCCAGGCCTCTGGGAGATGAGCTGGTGCCCGGTGCTTGCCCGCTATCAGCCCCCAGCGGCGGAGGGCAGCAGCGCCCAGCCCAGGGCACTACGGAGGCAGCTTCAACCCAGGGCTCTGCTCTGGCCGGCGGCAGGAGCTGAAGGGCCAGCAGCCAGCAGGGAGGGCTCCTGGGGAAGCTGGGCACCATTGCAGCCGGCTGGGCACTGGCATAAGCCGCCGGGAGCCAGCGGCAGCGGCATTCGGCCGGAGAATGTGCCCCAGGAACAATGTGAGCTGGAGCCGTGGCTGTTGCCAAGGGAACTATTTTAAGGTCCTGGGAGTGGGTGGGCAGCAAGGCTGGGCTGTGCCCAGGGCAGGTGGGTATGGGGTGCTCCTGCTGCATGGACACCAGGTTGAAATCCCCCAGCACCCCATGCTCAGCCGCCAGGTGGGGGCACAATCCCTTGCACGCTTACACGCACACACACATGCATGTATACACGCAGGCATTTTCTGCAGGCCCCTGCCTGGCACCTCCTCAGGCCATGTGCTTGTGGCCCCAAGTCCCAGCACCCCCATGGGGGCACACAGCCCTCCTCCACCTCCCCTCTCCTCCGGGCGCGGCGTGATATGATGCTGACATCACACTGCCGTAGGGATGTCACACACACCTGCTTCCCCAACCGCCGCAGACCTGCTTGGCCTGGTTGGCTGCGGGGGATGAGTCACAGGACCCTGTCACAGCGTGTGTGTGCACGCGTATGTGCGTATGCATATGCAGGGGGGTGCGCGCATGTTTTGTATGTGTGTGTGTGCATGCATAATGCATGTGCATATATACGCATGTGTGCATGCGTGTGTACACTGAACAACCCCCCTTCAGCCTCACACATGCCTGTGCCAGGTGGTCCTCACAGGGGCACGGAGAGGGAGGGCAATCAGAGCCCCTGGGCACTGGTAGGGCAGGGGCAAGCGGGGCACAGAGACGGAGTGGGCAGGCACTGGCACGGGGTGGAGGGAGGAGTGGGGCCCAGCTAGGGCCGGAGGTTATTTTGGGCGGCCACGTCCCAGCAGCTCGAGCGGGCAGGTGCCATTGTCCTGGCGGGTAACTCTATCTGTGGGCTGGGGCAGCGGGCGGTGCCAAGGACGTGGTCGGCTCCCCGCGGCTCTGCTGAGGTCATGCCGGCCCGGCCTATTATTATGGGTCACTGGCTGCACTCCTGCCAGGAGGCACTGGCCGGTGAGGGGGGAAGGGGCCTGGCAAGGAGGGCTGCGGAGCCAGGGAATGAGGAAAACAAAGAAGAAAGAGGCCTAGGGAGCCCAGCGGGGCCAGGCCGGCACCACCCGCATGGCCCCTGAGTCAACACAACCGTGGCCCGGGGAAAGGAGTGGGCCTGGGGCCAAGGGGAGTGGCACAGACAGGAGCTGGGGGCACATCCATGCATGTGCAGGCAGGGACTGCGAGTGCACACATATGTTCAAGAGGGCCCAAGTGTGCACACGCACAGGAGCTGAGTTCATGTAAGCGTGTGCGTGCATGGAGGGCTGAGCGTGCACCGGCATGCACGCATGTGGGCAAGGGGGGACAAGGTGTGTGCATGAGGGGCTAAGTGTGTGCCAGCTTGAACATGCATGTGCAGCAGAGACTAAGCGTGTGCCTGAGGGGTTGAGTGTATACCAGCTTGCAGCCTACAAGCGTGCAAGGGGGAACCGAGTGTGAGCTGGCCTGCACATGCACAGGAACTGAGCCCACGTAAGCACGCGTGTGCACAAGGGGCTGCATGCTTGCAGCACTGAGCACGCCATCATGGGAAGGAGAGTGCCAAAGTGCATGTGAGCCCACCTGAGCACATCCCTTGTGCACGAGGCACAGGGTGTGTCTCAGCAGGGGCATGAATGAGAGCCGGAGGACGCCCCAGTGCACATGCCCACAGGCCAAGGGCTGGCGTGCACATATGCCAGAGCAGGGGGCTCTTACGCATGTGCCCTAGGGACCAAGTATGCACACCCAGGGCCATGCATGCAAGGAGGGTGGGTCCTGCCCACCCTGCCCCTTCGCCCCACCCCCCCAGCTCCTGCTTACTGCGGCAGGGGGCACAGCGGCCCTGGCTGTACTCCAGCAGCTCTGGGGGGCGCAGGCGCTCCCTGGGGAAGGCTTTCCAGCGCTCCTGCTGTACCCGGATGCGAGCCGCCTCGTCCTTGGCGAAAGCCCCCAGATCCTGCGTGTAGCGCCCATACATCTGCCGGAGAGAGCAGCGTCAGTGCCTGGGGGGGCACAGGCACAGTGTCCCCCCTGCTGCTCCCAGGACCCTGTGGTGGGGCTCAAGGGGAAGGGCAGGATGCCCTGGGAGACACCAGGACCCTCTAGGCTGCCAGGCATTGCAGCAACCCAGAGCCGGACCCCGAGGAGAACTCATCTCTCCACCCCAGTTGTACCTGCCCCCAGCCGTGCCTACCGCTCCTGGCTCCAAGCCATGTCCGATTCTGCCTGGGCAGGCTCTGTGGGAGGAGGACAAAGTCCTGCCCCCCTGCAGGGCACCAAGCCCCCCACCGTGCCCCGGGAGTGCCAGGCCAGCACAGCGCGCAGAGGCAGTGCAAGCAGCCAGCAGGACACAGGCCAGCCCAGCAGGGCCAGCGCTTCGAGCTTCCCAGCCTGCTGGGGCCCAGATAAAGTACCTCTGCCCCGCTGAAGAGCCCTCCGGCTCCAGCCCATGCCGAGAGGAGCATGGAGCCAAGGGCACAGCCGGGGGGGGGGGG